CTTTCCAATAAAGCATTTTGGGAAAAAATGTTTCAGACAAACGTGTAAGGATTTTTCCCTGATGGTGACCTTGGATTTAACCTTGATTTTGACCTTGAAGGTCAAGTTAAGTTTTTAAATGGAAACCCCTATTTTGTGTATTTGGAAAGAGCAGGAAATTTTACGTCCAAATATGGTCTTGACCAAGATTTTGACAATAGCCTTCAAGGTCAAATGTGGGTCGACTTCCAAAACTCCCAGTACGGCAGAACTTTCGAAGAATGCATTTTGGGGAAAGATGTATCAGAGAAAAGTGTAAGGATGTTGCCCTGGCTATCTGATGGTGACCTTGGATTTGACATTCAAGGTCATTTGAAGGTCAAGTTAAGTTTTCTAAATGGGAACCCCTATTTTTTATTGCGGATTTGGAAATAGCAAGGTCATTGTCACAGTCGTGGTCAAGACCATGTTTGGACATAAAATTTCTTGCTCTTTCCAAATCCGCAATAAAAAATAGGGGTTTCCATTTAAAAAACTTAACTTGAGCTTCAAATGACATTGAAGGTCAAAGTCAAAGTCAAATCCAAGGTCACCATCAGATAGCCAGGGAAAGATCCTTACACTTTTGTCTGAAACATTTTTTCCCAAAATGCTTTCTTCGAAAGTTTTTCTGCCGTACCGGGACTTTTGGATAACCCTGTATATTTTTAAATGGGATGTTATTTTCTTTATACTGACATACAAAACTATGGAAGTATTCCAATTTTCTTTCACAGTTAATAATAAATATTCATTGCAAGCATATCCTAAAGAAACTCTTCTTTAGCGTTCCATACTGTCTTAGATTTGCTTCAAGTTTACTAAACTACCTTCTATTGGGAAAAATTCTATGGGATAAGGTTGTCGATAAAAATGTAAAGTCGCTACACTGTTTTTTTTTTTTACATTCGTAATAAACCTGCAGAATATCAACTACTTCATTAAAATCATTCATTTTGTTGTAAGTTGAAAGGTGACAGCAATTAAAAACAAACCGATATGACAGATAGATGTATGCACCAGGGTGGTCCAAAAAAACGATTAAGAATTTCCAATATCGCCAAAAATTAATTTTTTCCTCGTTATTTTAACATTTTCTAGGTTGAAAAAAATCTCGATTCTGAAAAGTTCAAATCGTTATTTTAATTTCTAAAGGTCACTCATAATTATTTTAACTTTATTTTTTTTATTGAATTTGATAAACAAAAGAACAGAATTAAATCACGAGACACCTAAAAAATTTACTACCGCACTGCGAGTATCAAATATTTATAATTGTTTAATTTTTTTAAATTTAAGTGTCTCGTGATTTATTTCTATTCTTTTGTTATACAAATTCAATAAAAAAATTATTAGTTCGTAGATATTTATTATTAGAGGTCGCCCGAAAACATTTTTAAATTAATTATGAGTGACCTTTAGAAATTAAAATATCGATTTGAAATTTTCAGAATCGAGATTTTTTCCAACCTAGAAAATGATAAAATAACGAGAAAAATATTTAAAAAAAAAATAAATTTTTGACGATTTTTTAAATTTTTGAGCTGATTTTTTGAGGGGGCTCTTAAAACATAATAAACTATCATATTTTCACAAGACTCGAAAAAAATATTGCGTTTATTTGTGGGTCACCCTAGTATGTACAATTGTTTTCCCAGCGCCTTCTATTTGATATTATTTAAAAAACGAGACCCGAAAACTAATGCCGAAGTTTTCCCATTTTTTTTCAAAAATTTTGTTATGCAAAGGCATACAAATTTGATATGGTTGGAAAGAGAATAAAAAATCTATCAAATCATGTAAACAAATTTATAGTCCCATTTAAAATAAATATCGATGACGTCACCACTCACCTAGTGAGACGAAAAAAAAAATTATGCCTTAGTTTAAAGTAAACATCTCATTTAAAAATATATATACTTTACAGGGTGTTCAAAAATGGGTAACCGAATTATAGCTCGGGACCTTTATAATCAAACAGATTGTATATTAATAAAGAAGAGGAGAGTGCACTTTTTAATGGTAGTGTGATATCCCCCTTAATGAAATCTGTCTATGGTAGACGCAAAATTCCTAGTGACACTGTATCTAAATTTAAAAATTATTGGATTGTGATAAAAAATGATACGGGGAAATATTTTGGTTAGTATAATTTTTTATTTAAGGTCAAAATTACAAATTCTTTCCAAATTTGACAACGAAAAAGAAAATGAAACAGTAGGATTTGAGAAAGTTATTGTTTCAGATTTGTACATTTGTAGGAAAATGTTTGATCTTCATTTGTTTTTTTACTAATTATTAAAATGATTTGGAACATATTGTACAACGTCTATAAATTAAAGTACCCTGTATAAATATTTAAACACGCATGCTGACTACAACGTATAGTGGTTTAAGCAGGCCGATAAAATAAAACAATGGAACAGTTGCAACAAAATCTAGCAATGCACTGAAACGAAAAATGAGAGACTGGGCCGAGTACGACCCTGTTAAGAGCCACGCCTCCCGAAATCTAGATCACTTTGGCAATAAGCAGCGGTTCTCAAAATGTAAATGTAAAAATTATATCCGTTGTAAAAACATACGCATTTATAATTCGTCGTATATTCTACAAAACGTTGTGAAATTTCAGGGCAGTAAAAACTAACTACCTAATCCAATTTTATCTTAATTCGTAATGTTACGCCTAAAGGACCATGACGGTTGTTAGTAATGATTCGACCCCTAATCTAAATCCGATTTTGATAACATTTTTTGCCTTCCTACCTCCCTCGGAATGGTTTATAAATCGGCATTATTGTCTAAGCGATTTATCGGCCATAAAATTTGATCCGGCATAGAACCAGAACGCCCCCCTCCCTCCCACCCCGTGGCCCCTCAAGGATCAAAAAGTCGTAACGACTCCGGCCCCGACAAACGGCCGTAAAAGTTCCGGCAGCTCGCGACTCCCGAGTCGGAAGCGGAGTTGTTTCCGGGAGCCGCGGGCGGGAAGTTTACTGTGCGGTCGCTAGGCGGCGCGATCGCCAAGATTTACTACCCCGCCGCCTCCGTTTGTAAAGTAGCCTCGTAGTTCGGCTTCACTTGCTACGTAATTGCTGATGTAATGCCCTTGCGGTCGCGACGGAGTTCGGTGTGCTCCGCACGTATGTTCGCGACTTGTTTCTTTCATGTATTTCGGTTCGGGCGGGTTTGGTACTCCGAGAAAAGTGTTCTTACACAATAAGGAATCGGAGAACCATCGGCTTGGAATAATAAAAATCCAATTACATTTGTTCCAATTGGATTGATTTTAAAAGGATTCGCAATGGATTGGATTTCATCAAACTGACTCTAGTATGTAGTATTTCCAAATGGATTAACTCTGAAGTTCCAAATGGAACGATTCCAAAAAGTTTCCAATTGGATCAATTTTGAATAAAATACCAAGTGAAATTATTCCAATTATATTCCATTAAATTTATTTTAAGAATATTCCAAATGAAGACATTTCAATAATTTGTCAATTAAAGTAATTCCAATCGGATTCATTTTAAAACTCCAAATACATTGACTCCAATAACATTTCAATTAAATAGATTTCAGTAGTATTCTAATTGGATTAATTTTGAGATTCCAAATGGATTCATGCCAAAGGTTTCTAATTAGACCAATTTTAAAAATACTCTAAATTGGTTTATTCCTATAATGTTTCAATTGCACTGATTTTAATCATATTCGATTAGATTTACTTAAAGAAGGTTCCGAATAGATCGATTCCATAAAGTTCCTAATTAGAGTTCCTAATTAAATCAGTTTTAAGAATATCTTAAATAGGTCGATTCCAAAAAACTTCCAATTCGATCAATTTTGGAATGATTTTGAATAAATTGATTCTTGTAAGTCAACCAGGCAACACACGGTTAACTTATGCATTCACTGGTTGACTTTATACATTCACTGGTTGATATATATACAAGATAATCCGCATTGTGATGAAAAAATTATTTTTAATAATATTACTCTAGAATGTCATAAAGGGATGTTCTTAAGTCGACATTTTGCTAGATGAATAGCAGAACCTTCCTAGGTTGAATAGGTGCATTTTACAAGTTTTATTTAGCTTCACATGTATGTTTATATGTTTAGTTCAAATCTTGCAAGCCAAATTTGAACCACTTCCTTTAAACTTACGACTTTGAAATTTTGCATGCTTGTTCAGATCTGACGACTAAAATGAGATTTTTTTTCTAGTACTTCTGCCAAAAACAACTAAATAACTTATTGCAACAAATAATTGCCGTGAGTCTTTAAAATACATGGAGAACTTGCGTCTTACATGTACAGGGTGATCAGAAAATCGGCATATACATATATAAAAATCGTTCAAGAATAAACTGCATTTGTTTTTAACAATACAGAAATATGTTATTAAGGAAAGTTGCTTAGAATTGAAATTTATATTATAATTCCAATTTGTATATGAATCGGCCTACTTACTTGGATAGAAACGGACATATAAAAAATTTTTATTGTTCATTTTATAAGAAAAAGGCATTCTTGATTTAAAATTTTGCTTAAAAGACATCTTAGTTATTTTAAAGACAAGCAAAAATTTTAATCAAGAATGCATTTTTCTCGTAAAATTAACAATGAAAATTGTTACTGTCCGTTTTATCAAGGTCTAATCATACACAAACTGAAATTATAAATTTTAATCCCTAGCAACTTTCCTTAATAACATATTTCTGTATTGTTAAAAACAAAGACAGTTTATTTTTGAACGATTTTTATATTTAGCGATTTTCTGATCATTCTGTACATGCAAGATGAAAGTTCTCCATGCCAATCGTATTTTAAACTTAAGCAAAAATTTTAGTCAAGTGCCTTTTTCTCGTTACATGAAAAATAAAAATATTTTCCCTCTTTTCCACTCTAACCGTGCACATAAGTACTGTATATGATATTACATAAATAATAAAAAAATATAATTTAACTAGACTCACCTGTTTATGCATTTCCACATTTAAGCCATAGGACATTTCGTAATACTGAAAACAAAATAAAATGTATTAGTAGGAGACTTTAATCATTCATTTATTTACAATATGTCGTCAACAGATATAATTGCGAAAATTGAAGAATTTATTTTCATCATTCAAAATATTATCCATTATTAAATAATTATTTACATACAAACAACTTTACTGGGGATATTATACCAATGTCTATCCATAAGTTGTACAAATATAAACTTATTCCCTAAAATTAAACACCAATTACTATTATTAAAAGCGTAACCGAGAATAGTCAACGCAGCATGTAGAGTAGCACAACGTCAGCCATCACTGTGCATGCACAGTTGATTATTATCCGAATGCGGTTTGGAACTTAATTCCTTCATTAGTTAACCGAGTCTTAATTAGAAACTGAAAATATATTGGTGCATGTAACAAAAATGTGTTTATTGAGCCGTAGAATTGTGTTAATTTTAAAACTGTTATATCGACAATGTTTTGTTCGTTATTAACTTCAAAGTATACCAATTAAATTGCTTTTCAGCAATAAATGTTTAACTGTGTACAGCAATATTATTTCATTCAAAGAAATCTTTAATTTGTTAAATCTAAATAAATAATTCAATTGGTTGTAATAAATAATTTTATTTCCCCAACTTAAATACTTTTCTCAACGATAATAGATACGGTGAAGAAATAATTAAAGGTTCTTCTCACATTTGTCTTTTTCTTCGTATACATATTTCTAATGTTGCCCATATGACTGTAATATCCTGCCATCTCTCACGTAGGAAATGTCGTCTGCTAGACCTAACCTTGGGTTAGAATGAAGTATAAATAGTACTATTACAATTACTGGGATTGCAAAACGTGGATCTTTAATTATGTCAACATTTCTGCTTAATAATTTAACGATATTTAAGAGGTCTCAAGAACCCGCATGGCTCATGACCAACAGAACTGCACCGGCGATAATCGTAGCGTAGAAAAAGAAAGATGAAAAAACGGCGAGAAGTCAGCTAATTAATTCGTATTCTAGTTCCCAGCTCTCAATTACAGTAATTAGTCGCTCATAATTCGATATCATTAAACCATACCGATCTTCGTCGAGGAATATTTTCTAGAATTTACGGCCGCTATTAGCGCAGCGGAATCCGAGCAATCTCAACAAATATCCGTGATAGAACGATGATCGTGGTTTTTCAAAACGCCCGAGAAATCTCGGAGGAATGTCGGAGACCGGGCAGAGACAAGGATGCCGACGAAAAAAAACTGACAAAGTCGTGTTTATGCTAATCGGTCCGCATTCCCCATTCTGCGCCAAGAAAGAACATCTAGACCACCAATTTTGGAATGGACTGCCACCGTAACTTTTTCATCGACCCCACAATCTAGTGCGCCGTAGTGTTTTCTATAAAATACACTGCTTGACCTACAAAATTTAGTTTGTCCATCACAAGTGACACGAAAGCGATATCATCAAAGAAAAACGTTTTGTGGACGTAGAAGCCATCCGAAAGGGTTGTACCAACATCTTGAAGGACGATCTAAAACAGTCTCCCGATATGCTTTTAGATCGGAAGGGGGCTATTTTGAATAAAATAAATCGGTTCTGCCAAAAAAACTTTTTGTTATTATTTTTAAAAAGTCCTGTTTACTTTGGAACGGACTTGAAAACTACAATATACCTTTAGACCAGGGCGGATCTGTTTTAAGGTGGATGTGAAAGGGGGAAAACAATTTTTTTCTGAATTACCTTCAGTACAACTCACATAATAAAAGTGTAGATCCTTAGATCTGGGCGAGGTCCGGAACATTTTCAAAAATGTAAAAATGTTTAAAAAATGTTAAAAAATACCTATTTTATCCGAGTTTTTTGCTTATATCTTGGAACCTATGCATTTTGCAAGAATATTTAAGTGGAAAAAAGTTTTAGAATTGAATTTTGCACAATCTACTGTAAGTTAAAAATGTTTAAATTTATTACCGATGTTGCAAAATAGCAATAATTGATAAAAAAAAATAAAATAATCAAGTTTTTTGGATAATTTTTTTAAAATATTATAATTCCTCCGAGGGCATTTTAATTTTGGTAAAAAAAACTTTAGAGTACAATAAAAGAACACACCAAATTCCATTAAAATCGGTTGGATAGTTTTCGCAAAATAATTTGAAATGTTGCACAGCCTCAAATAAAGCATCTAGATACTTGAAAATTTTTTCACATAGAAAAGACCGCTCAACCCTTTAAATGGTTTTTGAAAAATTTACCTATTTAACAAAAAAAATTATTTCCGAACAATTTTTTTTTTTAATTTGGAATTAATTTGCATTTTATATTTTTATTTAATTATTAAATAATTGTAATAATTATAACTAAATACATTCATATTCAGAGTGTTGAAATATATATGTAAACACATTTTTTCATTGAAAAAATGTAATAGTATAGGGTAAAATATACAGTATATTTAATGCATAAATATTAAACTTTGTTCATAGCAAAATATGTGCAAATTAGACAGTTGGCATTACGATATTCGAATTCCTTGGCTCGCGAAACATCGAATTTAAAAAAATGATCGAAACTGGTCCATTAGAAGTCAAGATAATGCAATTTTTTTCGTACCTTCGCATTTTGAACCTACGAATTCAGTCTCGGAGCGAAAGCCACCTCCCCCACTTTTCTTGTTTTGAGTCACTTTTCGCGCGTGCGAGCGACAGTTTATCCGCTGATTTATCTGATAACTTATGGATATGACAATTTTTTCCAGCTTCGAACTCTGAAAAACGAAGCCACTGGATCAAAGATTACTGCTAAATTATTTTTATATTAACGGTAAATGCCGATAAACTCTGACCGCTTATATCTTGAGAACCAATAAACGGAATTTAACTTTTTTTTTTAAAAAGGAAGCGTCTTTCCGAGTACTTTAAAATTATAATTTTTGAAAAAAACTAAATTGCAAATTGATAAATGTAATCAAATTGTTTAAAAATTAAAAAAAAGAGTGTTAGCTGTTGTGTTAAAATTTACTGTGGCCATCCTAATCAACCGATTTCAATTTTTCAAAAGCCATTTAAAAGGTTGAGCGGTTTTTTCTATGTGAAAAAATTTTCAAGTATCTAGATGCTTTATTTGAGGCTGTGCAACATTTTGAAAATTCGAAAAAAATTTTTCAAAATATTTTTAAAAAAATTATTTTGGGAAAACTATCGAACCGATTTTAATGAAATATTGAGTGTTGTTTTATTATACTCTAAAGTTTTTTTACCACAATTAGAATGCCCTCGGAGCAATTAAAATAAGTATTTTAAAAAAATTATCCAAAAACTTATTATTTTTCCTTTTCTTCATCCATTATTGCTATTTTGCAACATCGGTTATAAATTTAAACATTTTTAAGTTGCAGTTTAACTTGTGCAAAATTCAATTCTAAAACTTTTTTCCTCTTCAATATTCTTCCAAAATGCATAAGTTCCAAGATATAAGTAAGAAACTCTATTTATTATTTTTAGCCCAGATTTAGGGACCCTACACTTTTATTATGTGAGTTGTACTGAAGGTATTGCAGCAGAAATTGGCTTGCCTGCTCTTACATCCAAGCAGTAGGATATTTCGACAGATCCGTCATTGTCTACTTATCTTTTGTAGACGAAACTGAAACTTAACCGTTTTTGAGGTATTTATTATTTTATCTAAAAAAAAATTATTTGCAGGTGCAAAATAGTACCTATCTCATTAACATATGTTTTTGTAAGTGCTATTTTATAATGAACTGTGTTATACTGTATACAGGACCGTGACAATGCAAAAACCAACAACGAAATTAAGCGCAAAACAAACAAACACCTGCTCCTAAATTTCGACGTTCCACGTCCATGGATTTTTCCTTCGAGTATAACTCGAACAAATGTACGCATTTTATCTTAATTCGAATCATAACTCCGATACCTTGTAAACAAAACGACCGTCTGAGTGTTAACCGCTTAATTATTTTTTGCTGCAGAAAAAGTTTTACAATAAAACAACGCTCAGACCTCCAGGCGTTATGCTAATTGGATTGCCGGGCGTAAGTGCGCAAGTAATCGCCCCTAAAAAAACTAATTAATTATCCGTTTTCAGCAAATTTCGCACCGACAGCGATCGATCAATATGACAGGAACAAATTACTCCAGAATAAATAGCCTCTGTAGTAATTAAAGAAGTAAGTAAGTATTTAGTTTTATGTTGTGTATTAAAAAAAATACCATGACAAAACGTTTAGGTGACGTTTATATTATTTGACCTTTGGCATTTACTTTATTTTGGTGGGTAATTTAAAAGTAAAGGTTGCCTAGTAGTGTAGGATATGTGTAGGTAATTATTTTTTAAGTATATTAAAGAAAAAAGAGTTAAAGGTTATGTTGTAATCATGAGTCTTGAGCATTTTCACCCATGTTTCCATAATAATTTGATAACTCTTTCCGTCTTTCCGATCTCAATTGAAAACCGAAGGCTAGACAGTATGTACCAGGTTCGGTCGCTACGCAGCAACTCGGCATTGAAATATTTGAAAAACTTGTTCCCATGTTTATTTAGCCATACCATACTGTAGTATAACAACCCTAGGTTCGACAAAAAATAAGTAAACGTAGTTGTGGCCAAAAATATGTGATCGTCATAAGGAATCCCTACGTTGTGTGTATACATTTTTAATTGACCGGAAGGCACTGGCTACTAACTTTGTAGAGGGGATGTATGGTTTAATTATATAAAACAAAAGCAGAGTAAATACACCTAATCTTTATTTACATACAATTCAAATTAAACATGTGACAAATAGAAAGAACAACAAAACATTAACAACCATTAAACATAAAAGGAGAGTGCCAGGCTCACCTAGAGCTCCTGCGGGGAAAGAGCATGGCAGAGAAACCCACGATCGTTGCTCTTACCACCCAAATATAAATACAAAACAACCGCTAACCAAAGGCATAAATTAAGAACCTTTGCTAATGATAAATAAGACCTGTCTCATTTAATGTGTCAC